TCACTATAATAACTTGATCCTCTGTGGCCTTGGGCAGGGGGTAAGTACCATCCATCAACATGCATGTTGCCCATGAGCCCTGCATCATTAGATGTATGTAAAATACTGTATCAATGTGATCAATTTACTTGGATTCATTAATGTTTCTGTTCATCACGTACACACTTCTAATGATGTAGGCAAACAGATGTTCAAGTCACATAATCCTACATGGATTTGGCAAAGTTTGAAAGATTGAGGCCACTTCAAGATGGACATGAATGGAGACGAGAAGCTAGGAATTTACCAAATATTTATAATAATACCAGGGTACACTATTATTTTGTGTGGTTCCATTGGTCAGGTAAGAGATACATAAATGATGCAACATTATTAATTATGCGGTCTATGTGGAGCTCTCTCTCATCAGGTGTGAAGACCCAGTCACTTGTAGTCAAGAAGGTACTGTTCTCAGATGTCAGATATCAGTTAAAGCAACACTCCAAGCACCATAATCACTAAGCTCATTGCTGTGGTTATAGTGCTATGAGTAGCTCAACCTTCTAGACTAAGTTATTTTAAAATGCTTTGACAACTTACCTGTGTACCTCAGGTACTCGTGCCACATTTGGTATTCTACAGGAGAATACAAATTTCTTAAATAAGCTTAGCCTGGCTGATCTAGAACTGCCAATGTGCATGGCCCTGTACTGCCCTTTTTAGCTCATGGAATCTAACTTTCCTGCTTAGATCAATTAAACTAAAGGGGTACAGATATAGTCAAATCCTTCTGAAATTGTCAGGTCCCCTGCCCCCGCGTCGCTCACGGCGACCTTGCTTACCTCATCACAGCGAGCGGCGTCATCTGGTCACTGTCTGCAGACTGGCAGTGTGTCTGACGCTGCACGCTCCAGAGCAGCTTCCCTATATGTGTGCTGCACCCGGTCACGTGACCCAGCACACAGTGATGACCTCAGAGACCACAAGGGAGGGAAGAAACTTCTCCCATGTGTTGTGGTTAACACTAATTGGAGATTAGCCAATCAGACACACCCTGTGTGTATATAAACTTACCTCTCCCTTGCCTCAGTGCCCTGTTGTAGTCTTTGGTTTACCATTGAGCGTTGCACTTATTTGGATTTCCTCGTTACTGATATTTGGCTTTGTCTCTCGTTATTCCGAGAGACCTCGGCTCGTGTTTTGACTGTCCCTTTTTTCATAGCCCGACCATTCTAAGGATCGGTATTGCAATTCTCTCTACTCGGTCCTGTCTGTGTGTTAGGGTTCCCTAGTGAACGCTACAGAAATGGTTTCACAAATAACTGTAGAAGAATGCCATGGCACTCCAGGCAACATAACCACAACAGCTGGTGTAGTGATTATGGTGCTCGGACTTTTCCTTCAATTAGTAATAGTACTGTGATGCATCTGGTGTTGCATCAGTGAAACATTTCATTTTGTCTATGGTGTTCATTTCAGCCTGCTTTTTTTCACGTCTAAAGGAAAAAAAAAACAGTAGAAAACATTCTTGTATGCAGCAAGCATGTCTTTTTGATCAAATTGTAGAACAATTGGTTTCATGATGCGTTTTGAATACTCAATTACCACTTTAGAGCACAGTAAAATTATGTTTGTTCGGCAGACTGAGCTGACAAATACCGTTTATTGTTACAGTCCCTGCAATCTGCGGAAGCCTTTTGGAGTTGTTATAAAGAAGAAGTGACAGGATAATGTTAGGAGACTGAAAGTATTTTGTTTCCCCAAAGTGTTTTACAACTGCTACACAGTAGTATTTGTACTCAGACTTTGTGTTCTGGCTTTTTTGTAAAATGTGCCTGACTGTTAAGTTTCTTGTAAAACAAAATGTTCCTTTACATCACTGAGCGAAGAGCTTTGTGTTCCGTAAGAGATCACATAACATATTTGAGAAGATAGAAACATAATCTCTACATTCAAATGTCCATTCATATGTATAATTCTCTGAGACACAGCATGTTTCCTTCAATCAATACCTTCTCACAAGGGCAGGGGGTTGTTTTAGCAAAACCTAATGAGAGACTGGAATGATGAAGTGACCAGACCATTTTTCAATTTTCTTGGGACCTGGGCTGTTTTTACATTTCTGCAGTGCTTGTGTTTAGCTGTAATTTTCCTCTTACTCATTTACTGTACCCACACATATTAGATACTGTGTTTCTCATCATTAAATGGCCTTTCTAAATATACCATTATTTTCATCATATCATATAATTTACTATAAAAGAATGATGAAAAAATTTAAATAAACCACACTTTTTTGAACTTTGACCCCCAAAATCTGCTACGTATCTACAACCGCCAAAAACCACCTGTGCTAAATAGTTTCTAAATTTTGTCCTGAGTTTAGAAATACCCAATGTGAACATGTTCTTATCTTTTTTTTGGAACGTTATAGGGCAATAAGTACAAGTAGCACTTTGCTATTTCCAAACCACTTTTTTCAAAATTAACGCAAGTCACATTGTAACACTGATATCTCTCAGGAATACCTGAATAAACCTTCACATGTATATATTTTTTAAAAGACGACAACCTAAGGTATTAAACTTGGGGTATTTTTACTCTTTTCATGCTCTTTTCATGCAACAATTTTACCACCAATTTATGCCAAATTTAAAAAAAAAAAATAATTGGTAATTGTTTTGACACACACAGCAATTTAAGAATACATGTACAGATATCTTTGAGGTTTACTGCCAAAGAACACCCCAATATGTGTTCAGCAACATCTCCTGAGTACAGTGATACCACCCATGTATAGGTGTGTCGGGTTCTCTGGGGGCTAAAAGACCTTATTTGGAGGGTGAGCCTTCCAGTTTTCCAACTTGGAATTTTCGCAGCTGTTCATCATGCACCCATGTCCTATTTGGGACATTTTTGAAGCGAGCCAATGTAATTTACCCCCATCAAACCATATAATTTTGAAAAGTAGACACCCTAGGGTATTTCAAATGGTGGTATTTTAACACATTCCATGCACTAATTTCACCACCAGTCTTTGTCAACCTTTTGGGTAGTCATTTTTTTGTATTATTTTTCACACACATTGTACTTTAGGCATGGATTCTCAGCTCCTGTTATGTATTACTGCCAAAGAACACCCCAATATGTGTTCAGCAACATCTCCCGAGTACAACAGTGCCCTCAATGTACAGGTCTTATGTGTTTTTGCAAACTTACAGGGGTCAAATGTAGGGCTTTCCCCTTTTTCCATGTTTGCACATTGAAATTTGCCAGATTGGTTTGCTGGGCCTAAGTTGCATTTGAGACCGTATAGTAGCCCAGGAATGAAAATTAACCCCATCATGGCATACAATTTGTAAAAGTAGACAACCAACAGTATTTAAAATGGGGTATGTCCAGTTTTTTGTAGTAGCCACTTAGCCACAAACGCTTGCCAAAGTTAGCGTTCATATTTGTTTTTTGCATTTTTTTTACACAAAAACTGCACTTTTACTGGTGATTTCATTGATGTGATAGGTTTTACTGTTTTTTTTTGTTGATTTAATTTTCATTAGAGCATTTCAGGTAGATACATCAATCAAGTATGCATGTCAGATATTCACTTAGATGGATCAGCTGTACACATCATAAGCGCACACAGTTAGAGTATCTCCCATCGCGCAGGAGCGTGAGTCCAAAAATAAATTGTCGAGAATCACCCTAGCTGCAGAAGTAAGACATTACATCACTAAAGTTGAAGCTTATCCTAGGCTGCCTTCCTATGCTGTATTAGTGAGGGGTGCAGGTGATGGTCTCGATCCTCAGTGTGTCAAGCAAACTTAGTGTGCAAAAAAAACAGAGCTGTATATACTATACAGAAATAGGGCGCCACTTATCACCAGATATACAAACTGAATATAGTTACCCTCCAACGAGCAGATGAGGATATTCACATAAAAGATATAAAAAGAGAAAACATCATAGTGCAAACTTTTAATCCAAAATGGTAAAAAACATATAAATAAAAACACTCACAAACGGTGTGGCACAATTGATAAAATCAATATGTGCTAAAGTGCTGATGCCTATAATAGGCTAAATCTCCCGGTCTTAGCAGTCTGTAGGCGTCTGTGTAAAGGCTGTAGCAGAGACAGATGAAACCGTTCACCATCAGCTGATCCAATTCCCGGGTTTGCTCAACGCGTTTCGTCTGTTCTCAATCAGACTTCCTCAGGAGCGATCCATAATCTTCTCTAACCGGCGTTTAAATATGCCGGGCGGCGTTCTTTCTACATGAACAATAGTGGTTTGAAAGTCTGGCTGTTGGTTTGAACATAAAATGTAAACTATATGGAAATTGAA